CTTAACTCCTACAGAAGTCCCACCCTTAAGACTTAGGTCTGTTCAAAATGGTATCTTCAAGTTCGTCATTAATTTAGTCCAAATTCTTTTGCCATGGTCACTTATTTTAGATACCCAATCTGTCATGTTTCAAGCCCCATGTTTCTGCTGGTGCCTTGTGCTGGCTGCAGTACAAGATGAAATGCTAGTTCCGTGAAAATCATTGGGAATTCTGCTGCCAACACCCTTAACGTTAGGATTCTGCTCAAGTCCTTTCACGCTGCTGCTGCTCTACTTACCGTTCTGCATTTCGCTGTCTTGTGCTTCAGGGATGTTGTCTGGCTGACGGGGATTGCTATCAGTGTGCTGTTCAATCTCTTCCCGCTCAGGTTTGGGACTGCTGTGCCCAGCGGTGTCTGCTGCTCTTCCTTCCCCAGCATCTTCATCCTCATCAGAGGGAGCCAGGAAGTGCAGCTTTAGGCCAGTGAAGTTGGAAAGCAGTAAAAACAAGGCCTCAGAGCGCAAGAACTGCAGGAATTTCTTCAGGATGTCAGGAAGGCTGTCTTCCTCTGCTGTCTCATAGAGTCTGAAAGACAGCAGATGTATCAGCAAATGTTTCTCCTTGTTGGAGAACCAACAAGGACCACGTCCATGGGGGCAGCATCAACCAGTGCAGCCTCATGGCAGTTCCTGCTTGGTCCGATCAGTAGGTGCAGGGTGCTGTCGTTCCCCACCTTTTATTGGCAGGCCCTCGACTACTCCACTGGATGTCTTTGTTCTCCAAAGCTTCACAGAGTAGTTGGTATTTCTCTTTCTAGGAGAGAAAGGTAGTGCAGAAACGGTAATGTTTAGCTCCCAGGTCTCCCTCAGTGTGCTAGAAGCAGCCATTGTCTACTCTCAGGTAAGGCACTCCAATTTGTTTGAGCCTCCTAAGGGCTGCTGAATTGAGAGGCATGGCCTGGGGGGGCATCGTGTCTTTTCGATGCCAGGGACCGAGAGGTATCAAATGCTACTTGATTGTCTGCTGGGTGAGAATTTCACTGAGATATGGATGCCCAGTAAAGCAGAGGTTAATCAGCCTTGAGAAGCAAAGCCTTCCAACTAAGACAAAACCCTTATGGGTCATTTGTTTCACACAGAAGTCGAGTTCCCCAAGTGGTAAGCTGCAAGAGCTGAGGGACAAGGAAGGGCACTATGGTCACCACAAGCACAAGGCTAGGAAGCAGGAAGGATGATGTGTTTCCATCCTTCTGCTTTGCTTCTTGCAGGAAACAAGAATGTTGAAGAAAAGTGTTTGATTTTTTTATATATTTTTTTTTTTAATGAGCCCCTATGCAGCAGAGTACAGGCAGCCAGAGGGGATCCGTCCACTGAATCACAGAATGGTTGAGGTGGGAAGGGACCTCTGGAAGTCATCTGGTCCATTCCCTTTTAGGGAGTGAAACTAGAAGGGGTTTTAGTCGACAGCTGTACAAGCAAGCCCTTTCCCAGCCTGCAGGACATGTGATACCTGCCAGCCCTGTGACCTGTTCTGGCAGACCACATCAGATTGAACCGCTGGGCTCACCTTAAGAAAATCTTTCAGGAGAATTTCTGATTGCTCCTCAAATTCCTCCTGGATTTGAGCTTGGGAGTCCATGTCCAAATAAACTAGATTGATCCACTCATACAAGATTTCATGCTGGAAGAGAAATGGATTTGAATGCCGAATTTGCAAAAGTAAAAAGGATTCCCCAATTTCCCCTCACCCAGCTGGCCACAGAACTGGATTCCTCCCCACACACACTCCATTCCTTTCTTTATTTCATTGCGCTATGAGTATTTGCTGCATTCTCTGCACTATTGTAGGTGTGCAAAATGTACAGAGCCCAGAAAGATAAACAAGAAAGAAACCAGCTACAAATTTACGGACAGGAAATACAAAAAGACAATGGGATAAGTTAAAGATGAAAGAATCCCCAAGCACCCGCGCATCCCATAACAGGTATTACAGGGATGTGAAAGAAATAGAAATGCAGATAAGCAGACGTAGGCTTGTTACTCACATCGTAGGGTACGTGTGGGCTCCTGGGCAAGGGAGCTTCAATGTGGCGTGCAGGTCTGACTATTGATGGGCCGTGAAACCAGCCGCTCACTGACAAGCGGCACTTCTCCTCAGACAGAACTTCTGACACCTGGAACAAGGTTCAAAATTTAGACTACAAAACATTTAAGGACCAGCTCTAGCAGGTACCACGTAGACTCATCATAGGAGATGGACCTGACTCCAGAGAGCCTACTGCATACACAGAAAACTCAACTCAGACATGAGCTAGATCAGGCTGGATTAGTCTTGGCTCACAGAGAGAGGGCTAAAGCAAACTTGATGCTCAAGTCCATTGTAGGTTTCCAGAATCCCAGTCCAAGCTTTTACTCCAAGCTCCCGGCAGAATCCATTCCCTCTCTCTGAGAGCTTTGAGTCATTCTGTTATTAAAAGTAATTGTATTTTATTTTTCTACTGTTTATTCTGTTGAAGAACCAGCTATCATAGGCTGCAAAAATTAGCTGTCGCAGCTTAATCTGAAAACTGGGAAAACACTGAGCATCTGTGGGCCGCAGCAGACCACACTGGTCTACTTTTTTGTCTTTTACTTTTTAAAATGTGCTGTTATACAAACCATCACAAAGGGCGTTTGCCTGATACCTTTGGCTCTTTGTCCACCTACCTGTCAGACTAAGGGCAGCCCCTCTACCCTGGCATTTAACCTGCTCTGTGGAAACCCTTGGTTTTCACACAATGATGGCCACTGTTAAATCTTGATTTCATCCAATTGTGCAGAGGTAAATTGGGCTAAATTGAACAATTTCACATTCTAGGGTGCTGTACTGTAATGGTAGCATGAAGAGAGAGCCAACCCCTTACGACTGGTTGCAAGCCACAAACTGTTGTGAACTTTTGAATAGCACATAAAGACTTTGCACTGGAGTGTTTTTGTTTTGTTTTTTATAACAGTCTGATGGAACAGGAAGAAGAAACACCGTATGTTCCAAAAAGGTTTTGGCTCTTATTGATTGTTACAGAGCTGTAGCGGCCCTTTCCTTGCACGACTTAAGAGGTCTTCTATGTTATTTGGAATGGCTACCAAATCCTAAATCACTTGGGAAATGGAAACCAGAAAAATGCCTGGCATTAGAAGCTCATGGACCTGCTCTGCTCTGCAAACACCCACAGCTTTATTTGCTATCTCCAGAAGAAATGTAGACCATGAAGGCCAAAACCTGAAGATCTATTAGGAAGTGCTGACTAAATGCTCTTTGCCCAAAGTCTGAGAGGGATTTCAGGCTGCTGTGTGCTGTGAAGGCTTCGTATCAGTCTGACCCTTATGTAGTCCTCTAACGGTAATTCGCAGGCTCTGTGCTTTACTGACAAAAGGGTCAAAGAAACGAGTCAGTGGTTTAGCAAATACTCCGGGCACGACCAGTGAGGTCCAGACCTGGGAGGCTTTCATTCACAGCACCCCCAGTTAAGCTTAATGCTTATTTTAAAAATAACGTTATTATTTAAGCTGAGTTTATTGCCTATGTTAACAGTATCAGAGAGTACACAGGACTCTGAATAGTGCTAATGTGTGGGATTAAGTTTAGGTCGGCAGGAAGCAGTCATAAGGTTACGTGGAACAGGGATTTTTTTATGACAAGATTAAATCACTACCTGAAAACAATTAGGACAGTGACCAAGTAGATGCTTGTGTTAATTAACTGTAAGACATAAATGGCACAAAAATAAGTCCCTAAGCAGTCTAGGTGAGGACATGCCCAACCTACATCACTGATCTTCCTCTCCAACCTTCCGCTCTTTGGCCCTGTTTGTTACAGTCCACGGTATTCTCAAGTACACAGGAGTTTCAGATTCGAGTCAGGTGTTTGTCTCGTGCAGTTCCACAGATTATTCATCCTGTTCCCAGGCATCTTCCTGATAACTGCCACAAAGTCCTACTTAACCATATCAGCATTTCTACTGTAGAGTACCACACTACTTCTATGTTACCAAGGGGGTAAAGCCGTATCTACGTAGTGCCCTATTGGCAAGGCGATGTGCTGAGGAGCTCTTCTGGAGTAAAGAATGTGAGCTAGTTTAAAATAAGCAAACAAACAAAAATCTCTCTGGTTGCTACAGCCAAATCCACAGCAGTGGCTTGCCAGGATACCAACACAAAATAGAAAAGGAAATTTTTCTTCTCACACGATGATGAAGCTAGATTGACAGTTTGAAGTTGGCTTTGTCAGTTCCTGTCCTCCCTGAAGCCCAGCCTTTAACACACGGCGCTTAACGTGTATCCACTCTACCCACATTTCTTCTCCCTTTGCCTTCTCCCTCCCTATCAGGACTGTAATAATACACAGAGTGAATAACCACAACAATGAAAATCAAAAAACAAACAAGAGACAGCTCCTTGCCTGGTGGAAAGAGACTGGAGACACTTCAAAGAAAACCAGCGTGTTCCACGAAGGCACTAATGACTTGACGATTTGCTGTGGCTGAAAGTGTTCTGAGGAGGAAGAAAACATACTCTGGTTAAGATATGAGCTGGAACTCACTAAAACTGCCATTTTTCTCTGACTTCATGACATTGCTACTGGCAAGACACCTGGGTATAAGGGATGGAGCTCAGAGCAAGGGCTTGGTGAGGAATCAGTGGACTTGTGTTGCTGGAAAGGGAAGTTAAATCCCCACCAATTTAGAATTCCAAGCACAGTTACTGGCATCGCTTCCATCCTGCCTCTGCTCTTGGCCCTTGCAAAAAAAGGGAAGAAAAGGATGTTTCTTTTTCTGCTGTCACCCATTACCATTGTCTGCAAAGCCTACTACAACCCATTTCTGAGGTGGAAATGTTACTTATACATCAGCTTCTCCGGACAAAGGAGAAACTCTTTATCTCCCTTCTACTGATTAAGGAGAGAGTTGTTGTGAGGGGAGCATAAGCTTCATCTTTTTCATCTGTCTGAGGCTGAGCTCGGAGCTCTTACCATCTGTGCTATACAGGTCCAGCGTTCCCCCGTCGCTTTTCTCCCAGGGTGGGACAAGGTACAGGATGAAAGCAATTCTCCGACCTTCCAGCTCATCATCGTGGCACAGCAAGACATCTGAAATTACACACGTTTTGCTGCTGTGGTGCCTTTCCAGTACATGCATGATTCATTCCCACAACTGCTTCTCAGCTTTGTCCCCACAAGGATACAACAAGAAAAAACACGCCCTTGCCAAGAACTGCATTTTCACTCGTCAGCACCACCAGCCCACGATTTGCAAGATTAACTTCTGTGGGATTGCAGTAAAATTGCCAGGTTAGCCCACTCTGAGGGTACAGGCAGTTACATCTCGTCATCCACCCCTCCCAGGCTGCCACTTGGCACAGCGGACAGAGATTCCTGACTTAAATAACGACTCAAGCTCTGACTCCTAAATAGAGAGCTGCCCTTTGAGTAAGTTTGTTGCTGGAATAGAGGGGAGGGGGAACCCTGGGAACAGAAAAGCTGGACCAACAACTGGTTGTGCAAAAGACTTAAAAAGTAGAGCTGACAGCATTAAACGTTTTCCCCCTTCCTACAGTGATTTTTCATGGCTAAAACTGTAGGTGCAATTGTAACCTGGACTCACCAAGGTGACGTTTTAGCATCAGACTTCACAAACTCAACTGTAGCATCTGGAAGCTGAAGACATCACCCTTTTGCATGGAAGCAGGCCTGCAAACATGGGCCAAACACCTCTGAAAAAGGGGGGGGCTTGCAACAGCACTGGGCCCAGATAATGCCATCAGCAAAGGAACTACAGCAACAGTTTTTCCATAACTTGTACTTCATTTTCTGAAACTTTGATTTGCTGCTGATAGTTTCTAGGGCCCTCTGGGGTAGGTAATGTAATTAGGTATTCTGTAGATGTTTCGTTTGTTACACACTCACAGAAGCTTTAGGGTAAGGATCGCTTATAGACTGACCAGTATATTCATATTTAGCACAGGAGATGTCAATAGTTGGCTCCAGCTCTATCTGGGTCACAGCAGAAAGCCACGCTCGGAATTCTTCACACAGAGCATGCCTGAGAATATAAGCACATGGTAAGCGTCCTCCCGTGTTATAAAACATATCACCATAGCCTAACTAATTTATTATCTCCTTTCCAGCAATTTAAACAGTTAAAGGTGCTCTTGGTGCCAGTGAAAGTGTATTCCGGTAGAACCACACAGGAACTGGCCATGAAAACAGCCCAGTGTTCACAACATTGCTGACAATAACCAGCAGCGACTGTGAAATCAGTTGTAAAGGGAACAGGTCAACATTTCAGAAGTGAACAGCTACCCGAGGGCTGAATCAGATCGCACCACTCGGGGGGAAAACGGTTAACTGACTTGAGAGCCACGACGTGCGTGGAGTGGATTCAGCTCTTCAGGGCCGGTTTCTGGCCCGACCAGAAGGTGGCCGAGCACCAGCTGGCCCACCCCGCAGCCCTCGCCTTCCCAGGGGAGCCAGCCAGGGCTCTTCCCCTCCCCGAGCCGGCGCTTTACCTCAGCGCGGCGATGTGGGGCTCCGGCCTTCCCCTCAGCTCCTCCGACTGCGGCGGCCCATGGAAGAGAAGAAGGGACGGGGGTTAAGGCGGCGCGGCCCAGCTCGGCT